CACTTATAGCCATTTTGTAGAGCACGTATACACATCTATGAAAGCATGTTGGATATTAATTTAACTCTATCAGCTGCTCTGGACTTAGAGCCTCCTCTTATAGCCATTTTGTAGAGCACGTATACACATCTATGAATGCATGTTGGATATTAATTTAACTCTATCAGCTGCTCTGGACTTAGAGCCACCACTTAAAGCCATTTTGTAGAGCACTTATCCACATCTATGAATGCATGCTGGCTAGTAATTTAACTCTATCAGCTGTCTTGGACTTAGAGCCTGCACTTAAATCCATCTTTAAAGCTTTTTCTTATAGGTTTTAGAATTATTACAGCATTGACTTTATCTCCTTAAATAATCCTGTATGGCTTGCAGCTATTAACTGTTTGAGTTTGCACTTGGCAACTTTTTTAATTACCTACTTGGTTCCTTGAGTGCTTGCCTAACTAAGTGTCCTGCGTATAAGAGCACTTGCGGTTTGGGATTAACTTAAGTGGTTTTCAAAAGAGCCCTTAAAGGGGCACTTGGATAAAAAAATGCCCCAATTTTTGAAAGTCTGAATAACTGAAGTATTTGAGGATAGTATGACTCAATTATAATTATGAAAATCTGATTAGTGAAAATTTTAGCCTGGGAGCCACTTGCTGTTGAGATATTTTGGGTTAAAAGTGAAAAGAACAATAGGGTTGAGTAAATGACGTCATTTACTCACAATTTAGATKCTGAATAAAATTGATAATTTTCCCCGCCACTTTTGACTGTGAAGGAAACATGTTGGCTACTATCTGGGCCATGTAGATAAGTTTAAACAAGTTTCAAGCCATTTCTAATTTTCATTGATTTTCATCCAAGTGCCCCTTTAAAAGGAAAAAGTCTTTTAGAAATCTATTGAGCATTCTCCCAAATTGCAGGATTATTAGAATATCTGTCTGGGGAGAGTTAATGATCAAACTAGATTTAGACAGTAACATAAAAATCACTTTTATTTAAGCGTCTAGYGCTTAAGCGTCGTTGTAGCTTTTTCACACTAATTGGGGACACTTTTCACTCACACATGCTATCACTACATTCAATGTCTATGCACACAATGTCTAGGGAGAATTAATGATCAAAATAGATTTAGACAGTAGCATGAAAATCACTTTATTTAAGGTGGCTCGACCCCCTCACGCTTGACCGCTACCTTCCACTTTTGGAACGCTAGTGCATAAACGTCTTTTATCC